CCAGGTCGAGCCTGCAGTGACCAGGAGCGGCAACTGGGTGACAGAGTGAGACTCCAACTCAAAAAAAAAAAAAAAAAGAACTATACAGTGTGGTGAGAATGATACCTGGATATGTACTTTGCAAATTATTTTCTTATTAACACGTCCCCAGTCGCCTTAGGCCTCAAGTTTTCACCTGGTAGCATGTTAGACATTAGGAAAGTGCATTCACTTTATTTTCTGTTTCTTCTGTTTTTAAAGTAATACGTGCTCAGTGCAAAACATGTAGAAGATTCACACCAAAAAAGTATAAAGGATTTTTTAAAAACTGAATTAATCATTATTAATATATTGTTGTATTTTCTTCCAGTTTTTTTCATCCATAAATGTGTATTTACAAACTTGGCTTCATGTGGTATATATAGTTTTATATCAGGCTTTTATTTTGCTTAACTATATCGTGAGCAATTTCCTGTGTTGTTAATATCCTTTGAAATTATGATTTTTTAATAACCACACAGCACCATAATTTATTTTTTTATTGTTTTAAATTTTTTTATTTTAAAGATGTGGGGTAAAATTCAGGGTTCAGTATACAAATGATCATTATGCAGGTACCCTTGTTGATGAGGGGTGTCCCCCTTCCCCAGGCAGATTCCCAATACTCCCAATCCCGCCTCCCTGCCCCCCTCTCGGCAGTTTCCCACTATTGCTAATCCTTCTCTTATAGTATTACGATAATTGTTCAAGGTCCGCTTATGAGTGAGAACATGTGATACTCAGTTCTTTGTTTCTGTGAAAGATCACTCAGTATTATAGACTCTAACTCAATCCAGGTTGCTGTGAAATTGATGATTTTGTTCTTCTTTATGGTTGCATAATATTCCATTGTGTATATGTGCCACATTTTTTTAATCCAGTCCTCTTTAGATGGACAGCACAGTTGGTTCCTTGTTCTTGCTACTGTGAACAATACTGTGATAAACATACGTGCAGCACCTTAATTTTAAAAGAAAAAACATATTGGTAATTTTATTATAAAATAAAGTACATTCTTACTGTAAAAATTTCAAACCATACAAAAGGGCGTTAAAGTAAACATGATAAAACCTCCCTCCAATCCCATTTACTGAACGCCATCACTGATCACAGTTTGATATGTTGCTGTTCCACACTGCAGTCAATATATTAACTTATTTTCTTTACTGTTTAATATCCTGTAATGTGTCAACAAGTCCCCTGCTGACCAAGCTATGTCCTGTTTTGTTGCTATAACAATAATATCATACAACTTTTTACACATATAGCCTTATGAATGAGGTGGTTTTACTTCTGTAGGATAGAGTCAAAGGATTTGTGTATTTTTTTAATTTAAGTAGATAGATAAGCAGTCTTTCATCAAAATGAAAGTGATTCAGATTACCACTAATGTGATGACTTTTTGAAATCTTGAAACTTTGGGGATTCCAAGGTGTTCCAATAATAAATAATGAGGATCTGTTGCTGGGTTTTCTGTTCCATCCTAAACATTCATTTTTCTACTCTTCAATCAATATCATGTTGTTCTATTTGCAATAGTCTATGTTTCTACTCTCAGGCATTTGTTTTGAACTTTAAAATCATTTTAAGTAGGAAGTAACAAAAAGTTTTTCATTGAGATTGTGATTTCAATTGCATTGAGTCATATATTAATTTGGTATAAATTGGCTCATTAAGAATCTCTATCCAGAATAATAAAATACATTTTCATTTATTTTGTTCTTGGCTTGTATCCTTCAATAAAATATATAGTTTTCGTCATTGATCCTGTACCTTTGTTGTTAAATACATTTTTGTGTGTTTTGTGTATATTTTTAAAACTTTCTATCACTATTGAGAATAGTTTCTATCACTGTTTTTTTTACTTCCAATTTTGACCAGTTTTATTCTAAGATCAGATTATGCTGTCAATTTCTAGAGGTGCTTTTCTCTCTCAAGCCCCTTGGCTGACTGTTTCATGATAATGCTCTGCAAACACCAAGTTCACTTAGGGTTCAAGATTAGTGAAGATTATTGAATGTTGAATGCCTGTACTCGACCCATTGGCAAATTGTATTTAAAGAATGCCATAACAAAAATTCAAACACAAAAGATAGAAGAAAACTCGTATTTACTAAGCTTTTTCTATGTGCCAAGACAGAAATAATTAATATTATCTTGCTTCTTCTCTGGGCCAAGCCAGAAATGATTTATACTATTTTAATCATTTTAAAAGTATATAACAGATTTAGAGATAGATACTATTTAACTAGTTGGTTGATTTTATTTTTTTCCTTCGAACAATATTTCAGCCATAGAGTGACCTAAATATAATATGCTACAAATCAGATATAACAATTTTTGAAAATCATAGATTTTTTTTTTTAACATCATCGAAGCAGAAAGAAGCCTGTTCACCTCCTCCTCAGTTATATAAATATCTTTCGGAGCCAGGCATGGTAGCTCACACCTGTAATTTCACACTTTGGGAGGCTGAGGTGGGAGAATCACTTGAGGCCAAAAGTTTCAGATCAGCCTGGACAACATAGTGAGATCCCATTTCTACCAAATAATAATAATAATATATTTCTGGAAGACACTCATGTGAGTTATATTTGATGAGCATTGAACTTTTATGGGATTCTGTGCAGAATCCTGCCACTTACTTTTGTTAAACAACTGCATTATTTTTTATGTGTACATCAATTTTATCATCAACAAAGTGAAAAAGTAAGGCTAAACGTCTGAGTCAAGATTTTACTGTAGGGGAAGCAATATGACTTAGTGGCTTTGAAATTTAAGAATTCAAATCTAATTCCTTAGGAAAGAAAGTTCATATAGAACCAAATGCATTTAGGACTTTAGCATAAGATAAAGAGATAATTTTGTGATAGTAGATTGATTGGACAGTCCTCTACATAAAGAAAAGCTAGGTCCCTGCCTCAGCTTTATATCAAATAAATTATAAATGGATCAAGGATTTATATGTGACTTCTAGAATCTTCACAGAGGGCAGAAACACACAAATAAAAAAGATTTATATGTGCCAAGGATCGTTGTTTGTAATGGCAAAATGATTGGAAACCACCTTGGTGTTCATCTAGAGGGTATTCCTTGAATAAATCATGTTTTATTTGTCCAGTGGAATACTATGCAGCTACTCAAAGGAAGAGACCATTATAAAAGTACAATGAATGGAAAGATATTTTTAATATTTTAAATGAGAAAAGCAAAAAGCAGAGCGAGATAAATGTGAGAGGGGACCCCCAAAAATAAAATTATCTATTGGAATGTTGGCCCCCTGTACAGGTTTTCCCTACTAGGTAAGTGTTTTAGGAACCCATTGGCATCCGTATACCAGCTAGTGCTGTTGTGAGAGGCTGCATTCAGTTTCAGTGCATTTTTTGGAGATTCTTTCAATGTGTTTGCCCATTTCATGATGGGTGATTTACGAGTGCACCTACCCACACCTTGCTGAGTGTTCAGCGATTTTTGGCTCAAAATGGCATGACCCCCATACCCCAACTTTCTTATTCATCTAGTTTCACCCTGAGTGACTTTTATTGTGTTTTTCTGGATTAAAAAGCCCTTCAAAGGAAACATTTTCCCAGTGTGGAAGAGGTGAAACAAAAAACAGCAGAACCACTAAATGACATAAAAATTGACAAGTTCAAAAACTGTTTTGAGCAGTGCAAAAAGTGTCTCAGTAGGCATAGTGCATCAAATGGAGAGGACTTTGCATGTGACTGAAGTTGAAACATGAAGGAATAAATACTATTTACACTGGTTTTGTGGGGGTCCCCCTTCATAAGTGCTACCATTTATGACTTTAAAAAAGAAAAGAAGGAAAAGAAATATTTGCACGTGTATACAAGATCTCTGGAAGGATTCACACACACACACACACACACACACACACACACACACACACACACAAACAGCAATAATGATGGTTTCCAGAGAGAGGTCTGGTGACTGGAAGTAGGTGAGAGGGAGACTTCATTTTCAAAATGTTTATTTGTACTTGGATTATTTTACTAGATGGCTAGAAAATATTCTATTCAGAATGATGCATTAATCAAAAGATACCTGTTTTCTCACCAAAAAGGAGTTCATAAAACCTGCTTTACAGTGCTGAATGAGATAATCAGATAATGTAAAAGAGAGCTTCGCACTGTGTCTGGTACAGGGTACCTGTCTGTTTGTGTCTCTCTCTCTCTCTCTCTCTCTCTCTCTCTCCCTCTCCCCCACCTCCCACCCCTTTCTCACTCCTTGAGTTATCTAGATCAAGTATATGCTGATGCAGAATGGTATTTTTTCAGTTTCTCTCCCGGCATTGAAGAAACCTTACGATAGTGATAGTGAGAATTTGCAAAAGGGAAATACTTGGTCCTCCTCAAAACAGTGATTTCTAACACCTCACTCTTATACCTACAGAATTCTCCCACCAAAACTCATTTCACCAACCCCTGTTACCCTCGGAATTATAGCACCAACTTCACCATGGGCCATGTATTTGACAGTCTGTGCACAGTGGACCAGAGGCCTACAAGTTATAACCCTGATGACATCATCGCTTTTGAGGGAACTGGGGACTCATCACTATGTAGGGAGAAAGTGGCTTCCATATTTGACTTCAGAGCTTGCCATGATCGAGAAACCTGTTCCTTTGATGGGGTTTATCAGCCAAAGGTTAAAGGGCCATTTGTGGTAAGAGCAAAAGCCACTGAAAGATTCCATTCTTCCCCACATTGAATATTTATGTCTAGCCTTTCTGTTCTACTGACCTGTTATCCACTTTCTTACTCCTCACCTTGAAACCTCCCAATTATAACCACCCTGAGAACTAATTTCCTTCTGTACTACTTACTTACAGGCTTTTGCAGGATTCTACTATACAGCCAGTGCTTTAAATCTTTCAGGGAGCTTTGCCCTAGACACCTTCAACTCAAGCGCCTGGAATTTCTGCTCACAGAATTGGAGTAAGGTCAGTGTTTAAAGTGAAAGAATCGATGTCAACACACAAAAAGGAAAACAGAGTGTATTTTGTGTGTTTATATTCTGAACTTGGCCTCTATGCTCTTCTACTTCTACCACATCTATAAAATGGGGGTACTAAGAAAATCCACCACACACCTACGGTGTTGATTAATGTTATAACCACATGCACAGTGGTTAGTTGGAACAATGTTTGACACATAACAAACGCTCAGTGTGTTTACAGATTATTATTATTTTGTGATTATTCTATAGGGATATTTTTATTAGGATATTACATAATTGTGTTATATAGTCATTTTAATTATGAAATCCAGGGTGATACGATTCTTTAAAATATTACTCTAACCTAAGGTGTTCGTTTTAAAACATACCTGCCTTCCCTGCCTCTCAGATCTATTAAACCTCCTTTCAGCTCCCACTTCTGCTCCCCAAATTTGATGAGGTGTATGCCCGCTCCTATTGCTTCTCAGCCAACTATATCTACCACTTGTTTGTGAACGGATACAAATTCACAGAGGAGACCTGGCCTCAAATACATTTTAAAAAAGAAGTAAGTCAAAGCACAAATTGTTTTCTCCTCTCCCTCCCAAAAGAAAGGATTTATATATGTGTGTGAAAGAAATACAAAAAGTAAAAGGGTATTGCTGGGTGAAAGCTGGTCAGACTAATCGCTTGTGAACTTTCCAGGAGATGAGAACATGGAGAACTTAGGGAAGTTGCTCACAAGAGACTATTTTAGATGCAGAAAGAACTGGAAAACAAGGGCCAGTGAATTGAAAGATCCTCAAAGGCAGGCACCTGTCTTGGAATCTTCATATTATCAGCATTCAGCACAAAGGCTAGAACCTAGTAGGTACTTAACAAATGTTTGTTGAATTAATAAATAAATAGGTTAAGGATCTGCAACTTTTCTTCCTAAGAAGAAACTTCAAATGTGTTTTAATTTTTGTAAGAAGATAGTTACTAATTCTTCTCCATTTTACACAGATGTGTAAAGATATAGGCTTTAGAGCATGAGAGATTTGCATTAGCATTAAATAAGAATTTTCTGACTGGGTGCAGTGGCTCACGCCTATAATCCTAGCATTCTGGGAGGTGGAAGCAAGAGGATTGCCTCAGCCCAGGGATTCAAGACCAGCCTGGGCAACTTGGCAAGACCTTTTCTCTACAATAAATTTTTTTTTAATTAACTGGGGATGGTGGTGCATGCCTATAATTCTAGCTACTTGGAAGGCTGAAGGATCTCCTGAGCCCAGCAGGTCGAGACTGCAGTGGCTGTGACCATGCCACTGCATTCCAGCCTGGGTGATAGGTGAGACTCCAACTCAAAAAAATAAGAATTTTCTCTTTGAATGAGTCTGAGGTCACTGTATTTACTGGCAAAGACCTAAAAAATGGGGAGATTCTTTTTAGCTTAGTGTTTTATATACTGAATCTATAAATATCTATATCTATAAATAAACACATATGTGCATATGTGTGTATATATAAATATTATATATATGATTTTTTCAGTGACCAGTATGGTCCAAAGCTTCAGAAGCTTTAGATTCACAGCTTCACTAGGTGACAGGTGAAGGGGCCTCCAGATCTTGTTTTCAGGCAAGACTCAGCCTTGCTTATATGCTCAGCCAGTGCTATGTTCCCCAGGTTCCGGAGGAACCTGGAGGGTGTCTGGAGTCAGTCTGTTCAAACCAGCTTCAGCAATAATTAGATTAAACCAATCAATATCCTGTATTAGGCCTGTGACTGTCTACTCTTACATAAATAAGATTGAATCATGTACAAAAAATAAGAATGCCTGGAGACATAAGGACTGCTAGTGGCATGTACTCTCTAAGCTTGGCGTCTAATAAATCTAATTACCAGTAAAGTACATTATAAGAATGGAGAATGATTTTCCATTGAATACCAATTTAGATTGGTATAATATTCTAGGTTTAAAGTTTCTTTCCTTTAATAATAAAGAATTTTATGTCCAGCCAACTTAGTATTTAAATGTGGGGGTGTAATAAGACTTCAGAAGATTTGCCACACAAAGACTTACATTGAAAATGATTTTGGGCCGGGCTCGGTGGCTTAGCCTGTAATCCCACATTTTGGGAGGCTGAGTTGAGTGGATTGCCTGAGCCTCACCTGGGCAACTTGGTAAGACCCCATCTCTACAATAAATCAAAAAATTAGCCAGGCTTGGTAGCATGCACCTGTAGTTCCAGCTACTTGAAAGGCTGAGGTGGAGGGATTGTCGGAACCCAGCAAGGTCGAGGCTGCGGTGGCCGGGAGCGTGCCACTGCACTCCAGTCTGGGCAACAGAGTGAGACTCTGACTCAAAAAAAAGAAAATGATTTTGGAAAAAGTAATCAAATAAGGAGAGAAGTAAATCCAGGAGATGTTACAAAAATATAGGAAGTAAGAATACACTGTGTTATGGCTTAAAATATATATTAAAAATAAAATAGAAAATTAACACTAAAAAAAAGTAAAAGACAAAAATCCATTAATAGAAGCCAAGTATAGAAAATATCCAAGATGGTAGGGATATGGTAGGGGGTCACAGGAAACAGGGACATACAAGCAACCTAAAATTCTCATCTTGTCAAAGGGAACATACTGATATCATTTTTAAGGCAGAAAAAGAGAAAAATATATAGAAAAATAGCACTCATTGAAAAATTAAAAGCACATTAGATAGAAATCCAAATATATCAATAATCACAATAATCATAAATGGACTAAACTTACCAGTTAAGATATTAATTGCCAGATTGGATTTTTAAAAATCAAGTAGATGCCATTTATAAGAGAAGCACTTATGCTTCAAGCTTAAGGACAAGATTGAAAGTTTTTTGGTTTTTTTTTAATTATCAGTCAAACGGTACCAAAAGAAGCTGGTGTAACTAATATCTGACAAAATAGTCTTTAAGACAGAGAGTTCCATTCAAGATAGACAGGGTTACAATACTATGACAAAAAGTTCAATTCACTGTGAAGATTGCACATTTGAAACGCTTAAACACCTAATAAAACAGCCTAAAAATGTGTATAGCAGAAATGGATGGAACTACCAGAAATTGACAACATCTGCTTTCCCTTTGGACTGAGCCTCTGTCATTAGAAACAGATCCTGTAAACCACTCATTACCCCTTTTCTCTAGCCACAAGTACTCCTGTGCCCTTGGACAACAAGAATGCTTTCACTGTTAGTAACTCTGCCTTCTTCTCGCTTGACTGTGACAAGCTTGTGAGGATTTGCTCTTTTGACTGCTTTCTCTGTAGTGTTAGAGGTGAAACCCCTGCCCTGAGCCTTTCTGGGCACAGTGCAATGTCAGAACTTGGGCAAGTCATTTGACCTCCTTGGGACACAGTTCCAGTGGGAACTTTGTGAGATTGATAGTAGTGTGCCTGGAGTATGTAATTGCAGCCTGGAGCCTTGCCCTAATAACTAAGCCATCTCCTTCCTCCACTCTGCAGGTGGGGAACAGCAGCATAGCCTGGTCTCTGGGCTACATGCTCAGCCTGACCAACCAGATCCCAGCTGAAAGCCCTCTGATCCGCCTGCCTATAGAGCCACCTGTCTTCGTGGGCATCCTCGCCTTCTTCATAGCAGCAATCTTGCTGTGTCTGTTGTTTCTTGTGTACCTGTGTTTGGTGTCCACAAAAAAGAGGCACTCTGAGCATGCCTTCAACCATGCAGTGGATTCTGAGTGAGCTTTCAAGACAGCTTCTGGAACCCCAGGGCTGCTTAGAACCAGCTTGGGTAATACCAGGTAATGCAAACAAAGTGGCTGCCTTCAGGAAATACAACTAAAGTAAAATACCTAGGTCATGTGCCTCTCAGATACTGTTCTGTGCACTTTGCTCTTCCAGAGACCCCACCACCCACTTGCTGACCTATTGGGGAACAAAGAAGAGACAGGCCATCAAGGTCAGACTCTTTATTCCAAGTCCCCCAGAGGAAGAATAAGTTGAGAATATAACTTTTTTTTTTTGAATTGGAGTCTTACTCTGTTGCCCAGGCTGGAGTGCAGTGGCACACTCATGGCCACTGCAGCCTCGACCTGCTGGGCTCCGGTGATCCTTCCACCTCAACCTTCCAAGTATCTGGAACTACAGGTGTGCGCTACCATGCCCAGCTAATTTTTTGATTTAGTGTAGAGATGAGGTCTCACCAAGTTGCCTGGGTTGGTCTCAAACCCCTGGACTCAGGCAATCTTCTCACCTCAGCCTCCCAAAGTGCTGGGATTATAGGCTTGGGCCACCACGCCCAGCCTGAGAATATAACAATTTAATGTTGAAGAATTGACCTCAGGGCTTAGTTTCCATTTATTCTCCCTCAGTATTCCTCCTGACAAGACACCCATTATGCATTTGTCCTAGTCAGATATCTCATGGTATGGCTTCATCCCACTGATCTTTAAAACTTTCTTGTAGCAATCCCATAGGCACTGAGCTCCCTCAGATTGGTAGAATGTAGTGTCTAAAGGAGGAGACTCCTTTCCCTGAGGGCAGTGGCCACAAGCCAGGCTTCTATCACACAGGCAGAACCCAAAGCACAGAGACACACAGAAGGTCTCCCAGAAAATTGTAAGGCATCCCAAAAGTGGAATTACCAACCAGGGCTGTGGTCGCTAGATTGCAACCTGTGTGTGTATCATCGTCCTCATCTCACCATCATATTGCTGTGCCCTCCTATAAAACACATTTATCCCCAGCGAGGTTATTGAATTTCAGATCTTAATGCCTTTGCTAGGCTTTTGCTTAGCACAGGCTGACTTTCCATTATTATCATAGGGTGTATATTTCCCCCACCATTCCCACAGTTGTACTTGATGCTGTCATAAGACATCCTGTTCTATACTTTGCTAATCAATTACTTTCCCAGATTGTAGACCTCACTGCATAGTAACCATCCATCTTGACTTTGGGGAAAGGAAAGGACACTGCAGAAATATTTACCTCCAAAGTGGGATGAGAACAAGCTCCAGCAAATCCAATGGCTACAAACAAAAAATCAACATGATTTCAGATTGCTGTTTGTTAGCTGAATATGAAATAAAAACTCTTATTTTATTTTGACTTGCAATGTGCATGTTTCTTAACTCACCTATGGTACTCTTTCTCCTAAGGACCCAAGGTGGTATTCATGAGAGGAATTTTTCATAATAAGAAAACTTTTCTAGTGAACTAAAGCCAGTCATTAATATCATCTTTATCCCAGAGAGTTCAAAATGCTTTCACTTTGATAAACCTTTAGCTCCTTGAGATAGAGTCAAACATTTCTGTACCTTATTTGCCATTCTAAGCCTCTGTGAGGCACAGCCTGCCACTCAGATCTTGATTCTCATCCAAAATGGCTGTTCCCATCCCAAACTGCACCTTTGTTCACACTGTCCTTCCTACCTAGACCATGGATCATTCTCCCACTCATCTAATTAATATGTATTTCTCAAGGTCAGGGTCTAGCTTTACATCTTCCACAAAGGTTTCCTTGCACGCACACACACCATGACCTGTCTCCTGGACCACTTTTTCAAAACTAGTCACATAAATTCTTATATTGTTATACCACATTGGGGTAGGGCTTCAAAATATTAATTTGGGGGGACACAAACATTCAGTTCATAACAACAGGGCTTCTGGGGTGAAAGTGTTGTTGCTAGGTAGTTGTTACAGGTATTCCCTTTTTTATCCATTTATATGTTTTCTGTATGTTCTATATGACACTTTAAAAATAAAGTTACATATCTTTAAAAATAAAGTTTTAGATCTGAGTTAACTCAAGGATTTTCTACTTGCTACCTCGATGATCTATAGAATGTCTTTCAATTTCTTTGAGCCTTGGTTTCCTCATATATAAAATAGACATAATACCTACCTCATGGGATAGTTAAGAAAAGAGGAAATATAGCACTTTGCCAGTGCCTGGCATAAAGCATAGCCAATAAATACAAATTTTAAAAAGTATTTCTTAGGCCAGGCACAGTGGCTCATGCCTAAAACCCAGCACTTTGGGAAGCCAAGGTGAGAGGATTGTCTTACTGAGCCCAGGGGTTCAAGATCAGTCTGGGCAACTTGGTGAGATCTCATCTCGACAATAAATCCAAAAACAGGCTGGGCATGGTGGCACATGCCTGTGGTTCCAGCTACTTGGAAGACTGGATCACCTGAGCACAGCAGGTTGAGGCTACGTTGAGTGCTACTGCACTCCAACCTGGGCGACAGAATGGAACCCGACTCAAAAAAAAAAATGTTTCCCCCTTCACTTGATTATTTATTCCTCATGCTGTCATCAAAGATTACTATGTGATAAGCACTGAGCTAAATGACTGAGATTGTAACAGAAATGAGACTAGGCTGGGCGCAGTGGCTCATGCCTATAATCTCAGCACTTTGGGAGGCGAGGTGAGAGAATTACCTGAGTCCACAGGTTCAAGACCAGCCTGGGCAACTTGGTGAGACCTCATCTCTACAATATATCAAAAAATTAGCCAGGCATGGTGGCACGTGCCTGTAGTTCCAGCTACTTGGAAGGCTGAGGCTGAAGGATCCCCTGAGCCCAGCAGGTCGAGGCTGCGGTGACAGAGAGTGCTACTGCACTCCAGCCTGGGCAACAGAGTGAGACTCCCACTCAAAAAAACAAGAAAGAGAAAAATGAAATGAACGCCTTTCCTCTCGAAACATGAGATTTGAAGGCCCTCTGCTGGAGCAATGGGGAAAATTATTCCCAGGTTCAGCCTTTTTTTCCCCTAATGAAAGATACTGAAAAAAATCATTAGTTAAAAAAATATTTGACCAGGCATAGTGGCTCCCGCCTGTAATCTCAGAACTTTGGGAGGCTGAGACAGGAGGACTACTTGAGTCCAGGAGCTCAAGATCAGCCTGGACAACATAGCGAGAACTTGTGTCTAAAAAAAAAAAGTTAATATTATAAAATAAAAGATAATTAGAAATATGAAAATCTGATGTTATCAAGAAATTCTTTTTAATGGTATTATAGATTTTTTTAAGACTCTTTACTGTTTAAATACTTGTTGAACTATTTCCAGATGAATTGAAATGTCTAGTGTATCAGTCAAGGTTCAACCAGAGAGGCAGAACTAGTAGGAGATATATAAGTGATGTATTGGCTGGTTGTAGTGGCTCACACCTGTGATCTCAGAACTTTGGGAGGCTGAGAAGAGAGGATTTCTTGAGCCTAGGGGTTTGAGACCAGTCTAGGGCAACATAGTGAGACCTCATCTCTACAAAAAAAAAAAAAATTAGCCAGGCATGATGACACATGCCTGTAGTCCCAGCTATATGGGAAACTGAGGCAGTTGGATCACCTGAGCCCAAGAGGTTGAGGCTAGGGTGAGTCTTGACAGCCTGGATGACAGTTAGATCCCAACTTAATAATAATAATAATAATAAAGATTGTTGCAAGTAATTGGTTTATGTGACTGTAGGGACTGACTAGGAAAGTCTGAAATCTGTAATCCACAGAGCAGTCCATCAGAAAGAGCAGGCTGGAACCCTCAGGCATGAACTAAAGCTGCAGTCCATTCACAAGCGAATTTTTTTTTTTTTTTTTTTGAGTCGGAGTCTCCTTC